TGACTCAAACATTTTTTTTCCTCTGATTCTTTTTCTCTTGTTGCGAAGTTGGAGTCGTATTACTATTATTATTATTATTATTATTATCATTATCGATTGATTGATTGTAAGTAAATAATACGGATGAAATTTTCAGGAGGGAGGGAGGGAGGTGGGATTGGAGGCGGGGGAAATTTGCGATCATTGCTAACAAAATCAACTTTTAATTTGTTTTTTTTTCCCGTTAATAATAATAGTAATAATAATAATAGTAAGTTATGACGTCATTGATCGATTAATTAATCTTTATCAATATCGCATTATGGAGGAAGAGAGTAGCAAACAAATTTTGTGTTTTTTTTTTACAAACAACAACTCATCGACTCGTTGTAAAGGAAAAATAAATAAATAAATGCATTAGGATAATAATAATGATGATGATAATAATAATAATAATGATGATGATGATGTTTTTTTACCATCGTTTTGAATTCAAAAAAAAAAAAGTTTTGAATTCAAAAAAAAAGTTGATCGAATCAAACAAAAATAAATAATGCATAAATAAATGAATAAATAAATTATTAAATTATGTTTAACAAAAAATAATAATAATAATAATGATAACAATAATGATGATGATGATGACGATTATAAATTTGTAATTAATCAAATTAAAAATGTATTACGATATTGTAGTAAAATTGTAAATTAAAATCATAATTAATTAATTTTATTATTATACAGTTAAACACAGACACACACACAAAAAAAAAAAAACAAAACGAAAGAAAAAAATGAATTATTATTATTATTATTAATTATTATTATTATTATTATTATTATTATTATTATTATTATTTTTAAATAGAAAAAAAAAATTGTTGATTATATTACTCTTACTTATCATGTGTTAACTTAAATTTCATTGTATGAAAATCGATTTTTTCTTTTTTTTTTTTTTTGTTTTGTTCTTCTCCATGGTATTTATTATGTATTTATTGAATAATACATAAATTTTCAATGTACATAAATAAATAAATAAATAAACTTATTAATAACTAATAACAAAATCATATTATACGATATAAATATTTATATATATAAATATATATATTTTTTTTTTTTTTGGTAAATTTATTATTAAAAATCAAATTGTAAGTATACTTCCATTGTTGTAGCCAAAATATTTTTTTTTTTCTCGTGACAATGAATTAGGGTGTGAATAATAATAATAATAATAATAATGATAATAATAATAATAATAATAATAATAATAATAATGATAATAATAATGTTTATTTTAACGATGTAAATAATTTGTACAATGAAAACAAGTAAAAACAAAAAAACAAAAACATGAAGAAGGAGAAGAATAAAAAATTAAAATTTTTTCTTTTCCTTCGCATATGAAAACAAACAAACAAACATGGTTAATAAAAATTAACGAATTAAAAGGAGGGTAGGAGGAGGAGAAGGAGGAGAAGGAGGAGAAGAAGAAGAAAAAAATAAAAATTTTTGTGTTTTTACCAATTTTTGTGTATGTAAACTTAAAAATTAAGTTTTATTATATAAATATATATATATACATATATATATTTTTTGTATTTAGTTTCCGAGTATATATATATACATAAATATATATAATATATATACATAATATACATAATATACAAACCTCTAAAAAAAAAAAGAAAAAAAAGAAAAAAAAATTTATTTGTTTTTGAAATTATTTTCCCGCCCTTTTTTCCATCCGCCTTTTCCCCTCCCTTATTTATTTTTCTCGTAACGGTTAAAGGCGGTTAATAACGAACAGAAAAAAAATGATTCTGGCGTGCGTTTGAATTTTTTTTATACTTAATAATATATATGTATGACGACGTGTAGAAAAATAATCCATTAGCTCCTTATTAATTAATAAAAAGTCATTTCATCATCATCATCATCATCATCATTATCATCATCGTCGTCGTTCATTACGTAATCAACGGTTTCGTATTTTCATTCGTTTAC